CAAAGAAGAACCAATTCAACACAATTCATGTTTAATTTAAATTATATAATATTACATTAATAAACACAGATTGAAATAATGAATTGCATGCAGGTAATAATTATTCTTTGATGTAACTTATCAATAATTAAAAAAAACAAACAAACTATGTAATCAGTAAAGTTAGCAATTAGAGATAAACAGTTACTCTGTTACAATTTACACCAATTTGTAACTTCACATGTATAACACAATCAGAATTAACTAAATTTCTATGATTAAACATCAAAATATTTCACAATATTTCTGTATTAAAGAACACATTTCATGTTCATTTTAAATTATATAATATTACATTAATAAACACAGATTGAAATAATGAATTTCATGCAGGTAATAATTATTCTTTGATGTAACTTATCAATAATTAAAAAAACAAACAAACTATGTAATCAGTAAAGTTTTCCAGTATCTTGTTTCGCGTTGATTAATGTTCGTTTTTGCACCAACAACAGTGCTGTTTCACTGTATAAGGAAGGATTCCAGCAAGCGAAGACTTCCTACTTTCACAATGTTCCTTTTTCTTTTTTGTAACCGCAACTGATAATGCTTTTCTTCTAGTAAAATTGTAAGAACAACAACAAGCAGATGCGTTTTCCTGCACACTTTCTGAGCGTTTGCCCATTCAAGGTGTTTTTGAATAATTGGAAAGGAAATGAAAGAAATAACGAACAAAACCTCTCCCAGAAGAGGCACTTAATCTTCGAACGTCGGATCGTGCATTATTCAAGCCGAGTTTAATTGAAACAGCGCGATTTTAACATGTTGTATTGCCGGCATCGCATCTGTAATCAAACTGCTATCAATTACCGCAGGATCCGCCTTTTCCTCGCTTCCCGAGCCCTCACCAAAAACACGTTTTAATTACAATCGCAGATTTATCGCGTAATTGTACACGTGTTCGCGAATATACAATTTGAACAAATAAAGAAGAAAAAAAAAACTGTGGTAATATCCTTCAGTCTTTATTAAAATAATAATAATAATATTATTAAAAAAAAATATGTAAATAAAATTCGTATTAAATATTCTATGTACAAGAGATTTATAGAGAGGAAAAGAAGGGAGCGGAAGGATTAGAGATCGATTATCTTAAAGTTAGTTGTGTTAGAGAAAATAAAATAAAGATATTTTTTTTTTGTTTGAAACTTATATACAATGCAGAGGGTTAAGTGGTGTTATCTGTCTTCGGAGCAGGGAGGTAAAGCTCTGCAGACTTCCCTTTCGGTAGGTTTCGTGTGGGTGGAGCAGTAGTGGTCCGGGAGGGCCATCTCAAGGCCGTCCACGCACATCACGCTGCGACGCCTCAAAGGTTTCTCGCCCTGCAAATAACAAAGGATCGATATTAGAGCTACCGAAACCCCGAACAGAGATGTCGCTTGCTTTTAGGTTTCGTACCTTTTTGGTGCACGTGACCGGGCACGATTGCCAAGGACCTATCCACCAGTGCGAAGGACACGGATCATCGTTGCAAGTCCTCATCATCATGTCCGGTTGCTCCGAAGGTTCGCAGCTCTCCTCATCCACAATGACCGAAGTACCATCAACCATCGTCGAGTTAATGGACATCAACGATTCCTGGCAAAGGGCTTTTCGTCCTTGGACGCCTCCGCCGCAAGTCACCGAGCATTGGGACCAATCACCCAAGATCCAAGAATACTTGACTTGCTTAGGCGGTTCCCGTTTCGACATCGTGAACTGGTACTGAACGCCCGGATTGAAAGTTTTCCCTCGGAATATCATCTGCAATTCCATTATAATTATAAGTCCCACGCAATAAAAAGAAAAAGAGGAGAGCCAGAAGTGAGAGAGAGAAAAAAAAAATACGGAAAGAAATAAGAACTGTGGGAGGATATAACCACCTTATTCCCAAATAAATTAAAACTTCGAAGGGGAAAAGTTATCGCGCGGAGTAAGTCAAATCTCGAGCGCGGTTTTATTTCGGAAGGACGAAAGAGGGAGAAGGGAAACAAAAGTAGATTAAGTGGAATGGAATAACGTCTTCTTCTCCTCCTGTTTTTTTCCCTCTTCTTCATTTTTTTCGATTCCCTTAACCGAATTTCTTTCCAAATAATTTGAATTAGCGAAAAGGGCTTACGTAGAGGAGGATGGGTTCCTGGATGGGTCCCGGGATTCGGATCTTCTCCAGCTCGTTGTCTCGTTCGTACAGGGTTTGGGCACCAGCCACCGTGTATTCTCCGGGTAAAGTGATGTGCCTGAAAACACACAATCTTTCAGATATTTCTTCGCATTTGCATGGGGGAAAGCGAAATATGAAATGTGTTCTTCGGCCTTACCGTTTACCGTTCAGGTAGAATTTCCTGGACGATGCGCTTCCGATGCTAATGTAATTCTCCGAGTAATCCGTCTCCTCGACGCGGATGTTCCTCGATCCAGCTGCACAACAATAAAAATTACACATTTACACTTTTTGATTACATAATATAAATGAACTTGTGCAAATCAACTCTTTCCAAATCATTTGCAAGCTCAAACTATTGCAAATCTTTACATAAACATCATTAGTATAAATTGTCAATGAAGGGTGTAGGAATACAGCCCAAACTATTGCAAATCCTTAACAGTAAACACTGGTACATACATAAACATCTTCGATACATCCACAAGGGTTGAATAAATACAACCTAAACCATTGAAAATCATTACGAGCAACCCCTGATACATATATAAACATCTTCCATACATATTAATGGCTACTTCTAAAGGGCTGCATCCCAAACCACTAAGTATAATTATGAGCCACCACTGATACACCGTATCTAAACAGTGTTTAAAATTTGTTTTTTTTTTAATTGTGAGAGTAGTAGGGAAAGTTGCTAATTAATGCCATGCACAGACCAAGATCCAGCTGTCGCCGACCCTCCGAAACTCGTACCTGGAATAACAATCATCTCCCTGTAGCCGGCGCCCGAACTTTGTTTACTGTAAACACCCTTAATCGTGTCGCATGTACTGCCGTCCCCCTGACATATTCCGCAGGCGTCTTCAACAGCTGTTGAATCCACCATCCAGTCGCAGCCAACTTTCTGCCAAAAAGCAAAGAGAAAAAGGTATAATAATATATAAATAAATAAATAAAAAAAAAACACACGATGGAATAGGAATGCTAAATTAGGGGTGACGAAAGTAAATCAAGCATGAAATTGAGGCGGCGACTTTTCTCCTTTTTTTTTAGACCTCTCCTCGAACTAATTAACTTAGAAGGGGTGAGGATTTGGAAGCATTCGCGTTAAAACTGGATGATTACGAAACGGATCGCGACATCTATACAAATGAAGATTATTATTTCAGATAACCGAAATGGTTTTTGGAAATATCTTACTTAAAGAAATAATTTACTTTAATAAACTTTTGTAATTGTTATTTTAGAATTAAACTGTTTTCTGTCGTTGATATTTTTTTTTATAATCCTTGGTTCAGGATGTTTCAATGAATGAAGGTTGCAGAAGAAACGGAGAATGATGAGAGTCGATGCTGAAGTGCGTTTTGCAAGATTGCAGAGGATTACGGAGACTGGAAAATGGTTATCCGGAGAGCGTAGTAGTAAATAGTCTGAATAATTGCGCTTACTTTGCATATGCCCGAGATGCAGACGTCTCTGGAGCCAACGTTGCAAGGCGTTCCATCAAGCGCGTGCTCGCCCCAAGGGACAATCACGGTGTCATTAACGTCGCTGCAGTAGAGCTCGCAAGGTTCGTCTGCAAAGCATAAAGAAGACATCAGCTTAGATCGTATGCAAATGCAATTTACCTATCGTCGGACCTTGATCGAAGTACGGTACCCAGATGTACTTCTTTCCCTCGTACAGGTGATCATTGAAGGCGCTGCACTGTTTGGCCCTGAAGGAGGGTCGGTCATCCGGACAGGCCTCCGTGTTGCAGATCCGGTAACGGCGGCGCTCGCCCACACAGAACTTGCCACCCGCAGAGGGTTTTGGGTGGTCGCAGTCTCTCTGCATGATGGACACTCCTGCACCGCAGGTCCTCGAGCAGTCGCTCCAAGAGCTCCACTCACCCCAACCACCGTCTATCGCCACGGGTGGCTCCATTATGGGCACGCATTTGTGCTCCTGGCACCACTAGGTGGACAACAACAAGAATAAATATAAGATGACCAACAAATCGCTGTTAGGACTCACCTTGTGCTTCCCGCAATGAGTTCCGGCGGCGGCTGGTCGTAGCTGCGTCGTGCACGTTCCATTCACTTGGCACCAAAGTCTTGAGCAGATTTCATCCAGCGGCGTGCACATCTGGGCGTCTTCACCGAACTGAAATCTGCACTGGTATTCCGCATTGTACATGGCACCGGCCGGCAACTCAGGATACTCGTAATTCTCAGAACCTTCCGAAGGCGCATCCTGCAGACATCTTCCCATTCCTTTACTGTGCCAAACAGAAACAATACAATTTACATGTAAATTATATAATATTAATCACATACAAATTCACCGCTTAACATTTTACAGAATCAATACATGATGTGTCTAAATTAATAATAATTTCTCGCGTATATAAAATGAATTTTTATTTTTTTTTTATCGATAAAACTAGTTAACTGGAAAACATTAAAGATTAATTAGTGTATGAAGATAATCTCTAATTAGTAATATCTCGGATCCAAAGTGATGACATAATACATTTTATATTGAAGTGTAAACTTTAGTGCGAATAATAAAACTAGGAACGAGCGTTAGTAAGCGCAAAATAGAAAGCTGAGCTTAATGAAATCCAAACACCGGTTCCTCCGCGTCTTAGCTAGTTTAATTGGAGGAAGTAATGAAAACTATTAATTTTACGTCAATATATGCGCCGATCCCACTGTTTCCATCGACAATGCAAAACGCTCAACGCATAAGTAATATTTACGTAACTTTATTAATTGAAAACAAAGTGAATTTTGATTCCACCTTTAAATCGTGTTATGTAAGCATATTAATATTTGAAAATTTGGTACGTATCGTGATTTTAATATTGGATTATATTTATACGTTGTTGCTGGAATAACTCAAAATGTAATAAAGTGTAATATGTTTATAATATACATAGAGTTGAAGTCATGCAAGGAAGGCGAAAAGAAATAAATCTGTATGTGACATTGAAACAATATCTGGTTGAAGGAAGGCAGTGATAAAAACTTGGTGGAAACTTTTTCTTTCTCTCTATATCTGCAGGACGAGACTCAATAAAAATACGCGAGTTTTTATCTCCGCTGCTCTTCTCTCCCTGCAGACGATGTGAAGGGTAGTTCCACAAGTCATCTCAATTTTTTCGAGACGTGACCGAAATTCCGCCTCCAGTGGTGAATGGGGGAGTTGTAGGAGGAATGAGTTGGATTTTCATATGCAAACATATCGGAATCGCAGCGGATCGTGGGGAAATAGTAATGATGATAATAGTAATGATAATCACGGCGTAACGACTTACTCGAGGAAGTTTGTTATATCGCGTCTGCTGCATCTGGACCAGCTCACTTGGACGGTGTCTGCCTCGAAGCTGGGGGTCATGATGTGCAACCGATTCCCTTCCTTCCCTTTGCATCCGATTTTATCCGTGTCATGGTACATCCCGAAACTGCAAATTACATCCAGAACAACGAGAACGGAAACATTGGAAGCAAACTGTAGATTGTTTTTTTTTTTTGCATACTTGTGTCCCATTTCGTGGGCGATCGTATGGGCTAAGGTGATGCCGTTATCCTCGTTCACGCTGCAGCTCCTCTCCGATTTGCACATGCCACCTACGTGCGCTACACCCAAGGTGTTGCAAGGCGTATCCTTCCTGGCGCAGATGTCCTTCCTGGTCACGAGGATCGCGACATCGTGGTGATGAGGATGGGTGTCGTTCTGCGGATTCAGAGACTTCTGCCACTTGCAGAAATTCCTCAACGTGCTGTCCGCATTCACCGTGACGTTCAGTTCCGGTTCAGAGAGAGGATCATCGATTAAGATAATCTTCACGACGACCACTTTTATTAGATTCCCGATGCTCGGATCCAAATACAACGAGGAGACCTGTCGGAATTCATTGAACAATTAAAAAAAAAGCGAAAATAAGAAGGAAAGAAGAGAACCCTAGTATATTGCAAACGTAATCGTTCAATTTGATCGAGCGTAACGATACGAGAAAATACCGGTCTGCAGTTGCAGATTTATGTGCATATAATACCATATTCATGATGGTCAGCAAGTAGGTCTCGACGTCTCCATCCTCGTGGAACTCGACCATCGAAGTGTCGGCGACGAGGAGCGTTTCCACGAATTGGGGCTTGCTCACCGATCGCTTGTACTTCTTGTACTTGTGCTTCTTCAGGTTGTCGTTGGCTATGGTCGGAATACTGATGCGCTCCCGATGCTTGTGCCTCTTCTCCTGCACCCGGACCTTCCCGTTATGCTTCTGCCACTCGATCCTGAAACATTGCACGTCGATAATGCTTTTTTTCGACGACTCTCGATCCGCACGCTTCAAATACTCGGCCATCCGTTTCGGTTCCCGCGTTCCGCAGTTCCTCGAATGCTTCTTCCGTTTCTTCTTCCGTTTCCGTTTCGCGTCCGTCTTTTTGTAGATTACGTGACGGCGCTCACGACCAGAGGTGCGCATCTCCTCCTCCACCGGTTCGATCAAGTATTTCCCATCTTCCGTATGTATCAGTCCTGTCTTTGATCAAAGAAACAAAACACATTGGATTTTTGATAGAACTATCTAAAGAAGCAATCAAATCAAATTTTAAACACATCGAAACATGAATTTAAAAAAAAAACTTCATTAAATAATTAATTGAAAACTATAAATAAAAATGCCCGAAATAAATAAATAATGCTGAAATAACAAAGATAATCCTTAAGCAGATCTAAATTAAATTAAGATTTAGGATATTATTTGATACTTAAACAGATTAATATTGCTTTAAAGCAGCGGTCGGGGAACCGGGGTAAATTACCCAAAATGGGGTAAATAAATTTTTCTAATTTCATCTTACCAAACTCAGAGAGCGGTTCTCTGACTACTTTTCAGATCTTGATGT